GAGAGAGAGAGAGAGAGAGAGAGAGAGAGAGAGAGAGAGAGAGGAGCGATACAAGTTTGGCTGTTACGTACCTGTGAAGTTGCCACGCAGCCCACAAAGGAGAAGATTGCGGCCATAGCCGCGAAGCGTCACCACGGAGTAACGAAGGAGGGTGAGAGAGGACAGAGGGGGAGAGACCGAGCAGGGTGAGAAAGCCATAGCCGAGAGGTGAAGAGAGAGCCGATCAAAAAAAAAAAAAAAAAAAAAAAAGAGAAAGAGGAAGAAGACAGCAGGATGAAAGGAGGCGAGGAAGGTGAAGAGAAGAGGGAGGTTGGTGAGGGAGAGAGAAGCCGGCAGCCATAGCTGACTGGAGGTAATGACCGGCGTTCACCAGAGTTGACCGGGGGTTGACCAGGGGTTGACCACAGCATTGACCGGCGTTTACCAAGGCGTTGACCAAGACTTTGACCAAGTTGGAGCCGGTAAAATCTTGCCAAGCCTTCAGCCTATCCCTCGCCCTATGGATGTGCACACACCCTGTGGTACTTGCTGAGTCCAGTCTGTCTGTCTCTTCTTTCTGCATCGAGTCTCTTATGTCCTAGGTGATAGTACTCTGTGGATGAAGGATAGGGCCTTGTTGACCAAACCCACACGGGCTGAGTAGGGCTAAAAACTGTCTGACAACTCGACTGTCCCGGAGGCCTAACCCTCCCAAGGACCAGTACTGACCGGCGGGCTGCTCGGTGTGGCACGGTAGGCCCAAAATCCGAGCTGTGGGCTGCACAACAGGCCGTCTAAGTCTTGAGAGACCTGCTGATCGCGTCGTCCTGTCTGCGACGTTAAATAATTCCTGAGGAGTTACGGGGGATCTCCTTAAATGCCTCCTGATCAACAACAGGTCTAGTAGTGACAACCATAGTGTAGGTCTAGGCTAGAGACCATAGTTGGCAGGATCCCTGTCCGGATTCTGTAAGTCTTAGATTGAGTCAGTAGGTTTGTCAGTCAGGGGTTAGAGCCTATGTGGTGAGGTTTGGAACCACTAATCCGGTTGTACACTTATCACCATGGTTGAGACTCGTAGTGGGACGAGCACTAGCCCCTACACCCAGGAGCAACAAGAGAAAATGGCCGCCTTAGTGAGAGAGAACATGGAGAGGAAGGAGCTCCTGAAGCAAGCGAAGCTAAAGGCCATTGCAGAGGAGCACGCGGCGACGATGAAAGAATTGGAGGAGGAGATGGAGAAGAAGAAGGCTGCTGAAGAAGAAGCGGCAGCAGAAGCAGAAGAGGAGAGGAAACGCAAGGGGAAGGAAGTAGAAAGTAGTGGCACGACAAATGACGATGCCGCTATGGAGAATAAGATAAGTGAGTGGATCGCTAATTTATCGTTGGGGGAAGACGAGGAAGCCGAGTTTTATGTACCTCAGGGTGAGAGGGATGCACTAGCCAGTGAGCTAGCGGCAATGGAGGGCCCTCTGGAATGGAGAGAAAGGGAAGAAGAGAAGAAGTTGGAGTGGAAATTGAGGATGAAGAGGGAGAAGAAGAGAAGGAGGGACGAAGTCAACAGGCTGACCGCTGAAGTGGCAAAGGTAAGGGATTGCAGGCAGGAAGTGCAGGCACAGGCCGATATGTCTGCCAAAATGGATAAGATGTTGGGGTACCTAGAGGTGTTGAGTGCAGCCTGGATGGAAGAGCACCAGGCCAACAGGAGCCAAGAAGTAGCGTTGAGTGCCATGCGGTCAGGGTTCAGAGATTTTGCGCGCGATATGGTTACCCACGTTGGAGGCGAAGTTAGGCGGTTGAGGGACAGCGTGGGGAAGTTCTGCGAGGGCGCCATCGAAGGTGCCAAAGCGATAGCCGCTGTAGAGGGTGAGGGCAGGCCCCGTAAGGAGCCTGTTAAGCTTAAATTCCCAGATGCCTATGGGGGAAAGAAGGAGGAGAATTTTCATAACTGGGAGGCGAGCGTCAATAGCTACATGTACCTACAAAACATATTGACTGAGGAGCAAGTCCTCGTCGCCTTCCAGGCCCTCAAAGATGAAGCAGAGCAGCCGGTTGTGAAAACAACCTGGTTGCATACTCTAAGATCACCACCCTTCCTCAATTCTTCAAGCTCCTGAGGGAGCGATTTGCTGATCCAACGAGAGGCGTCAGGGCCTCTGATAAGTTACAAACGATTCACTCACGACAGTGGCGAAGTGCAAGAGCACTCAAGGGCGTTATGGACGACTTGGTAGTCGTCCCAGACCATGGGGTCAATGAGCCCCAGTCGGTCCAGTTATTTTATCGTGCCACGCCAGAGCCCCTGCGTGGGCACTTTTTTGACAAGCCTCAATAGGCCGACATTACCTATGATGTGTTGAGTAGAGAGGTCGTCCTGTTCGAGTCAAAGTCCATGCCAGTTTCCACTTTCTGGCATAAGGGCTTGGATAAGGGAAAGAAGTGGAAAGGCCGTACCATCTCAGGCCAAGTGAGGGCCAAGGATCACATGATCCTTACTTTAGAGGAAGGTGGTACTGATGAGGTCCCATATAGTCAGATTGAGTGGGGCCTTGAGGATGAGGACAGTAGTATGGGGCAGGGGAGGTTCTATGCTGCTGTCGCAGCTGGAGGGAGGCCGCAAGGTAGAGGAGGAGGCCAGGGCCAAAGGGGCCAGGCCATGGGAGGCCGAGGACCGGGCGCACAGGGGGTTGGTGGACAAGGGAACCGCCGTGTGGGAGGTAGGGGTCCAGGTCCCCTGCCAAATCGCCAGGGTTCTTGTCGGTCCCCACAGCAACGAGGTGGAAGAGCACCTCAAGGAGGATGGCACCCAGGCTTGCCACAGGGCAGGCCCTGGGAGGATCTGGGCTTGGACCAGCGCATATGGCAAGAACGCGTAGACCAGGGTCAGTGCGTGTTTTGTGGTGACCCGGCCCACGTCATTAAATTTTGTCCTAAGTATAGACAGGCCCGCTGGGCTGCTCAGCAATCAAAAAGCAGCCGCCAGTAAGGGTCGCAACTGCCCCTACTTCAAGGCCATGTGGGGAAGCGGGCGCGCGCGAACAGGAAACTCCCAAACCACATGAGCCTATGGCAGAGGTTGCAGGCCCGTGCCTAGTTAGCTGTCCAGAGACTGCTTGTGTTAGCGTCTCTCTAGGCACGTCCCTCACAAGCATGGCAGAGGAATTGAAGGAGAGGATGCCAGCCTGGGCCAAAATGAAGAAGGAGAGTAAAGGACAACTGATCTTGGTGGATGTAGAGGTGTTTAGAAGTAGAGTAGGGGCCCTTATAGATTCAGGGGCTACCCGTAGTTATATTAGCCGCAGGGCGCTGAAGAAGCTGAGGTTAGGATTGAAAGTCCAAAAGTTGGCAGACCCGATTGTCAGTGTCCTCGCAGACAACCGCACGATGCGTGTTGAGGACTACGTAGAGGGAGTTCAGGCGTACTTTCGCCTAGAGAAGGATGGGAAGGTGGAGAAAGTTCTCCATTCCCTGACTCTCCTCGTACAAGATGACCTTCCTTTCGACATAGTATTAGGAATGGATTGGGGAGAGGCAGCAGGCGCCACACTCCACTTGAGAGAGCACGAGTGTAGGCTCCCTAGTCCATCAAGTGAGGTTAAGACTGCCCGCCTGTTTCATGTGTCAGGTGTGGATAACACTCTGGCACACTGTTGTCTCAGTGCTCCCGCGTTCGCGCGTCTAGTGAAGAAGGAGCGACTAGAAGAGCAGGTCTTTGTAGTCTATGTTAGACCTGTACCGAGGCTAAGGAGGAGGTGAGTTCCACAAATCCAACCATAGCCAAGTTGTTGGAAGAGTTCAAAGACTTAACGGAGTCGCCGACAGGAGTAGCGTCGCGACCCATCCAGCACAGGATAGAGATAGAGCCTGGCAGTAGAACTCCTAAAGAAAAGGATGTCCCCTAGAGAGTTAGAGGAGCTGCGCAAGCAGTTAGACGAGATCCTCGAGAAAGGTTGGATCAGACCACGTTCGTCTCCTTTTGGAGCACCAGTCCTGTTTGTCCCAAAGAAGGAAGGAGAGCTTCATATGTGTATAGACCATAGGGGTTTGAATGCGATTACA